GAAACATTGGGCAGGTTTCCTTACTCCACATGCCTGTGATTACCTAGCAGTAAGTAGGAACCTGGTTGTTCGTTGATAAGCAAATTGTTTTTGCAGGGGTAATAATTATTTGTGGAGAATTGGTGCTGGGAAACTGTTAGCACTAAAAAGTGACAAATCCCCTGGTCCGGATGGTTTGCATCCCAGGGTTTTAAAAGAGGGAACTTATGAGATAGTGGAGGCCTTATGTCTGATCTTCCAAAATTCCTTGGATTCTGGAACAGTCCCCATGGATTGGAAGATCGCAAATGTCACAACACTATTTAAAAAAGGTGGAAAGGAAAAGATGGGGAACTATAGGCCACTTAGTCTCACATCAGTGATAGGAAAAATTTTAGAATCATTGATTAAGGATGTGGTAGTACGGTATTTAGGGCACAATATAATTAGGCCAAGTCAACATGGCTTTACAAAAGGGAAGTCATGTTTGACAAATCTCATAGAGTTTTTTGAGGACATTTCCAGTAAACTCGATAAGGGTGAATCAGTGGATGTGGTCTATTTGGACTTCCCGAAGGCATTCGATAAGGTGCCGCATAAAAGGTTAGTCCAAAAGATAAGGGCCCATGGAATTGGGGGGAGCATATTACTGTGGATTGGGGAATGGTTAACGGGTAGGAAACAAAGAGTAGGATAAACGGGTCCTTATCAGATTGGTGGGATGTGACCAGTGGATCAGTCCTTGGGCCTCAGCTATTTACCATCTACATCAACGATTTAGATGAGGACATCAAAGTTAATATATCTAAATTCGCGGATGACACAAAACTAGGAGGAAGTGTCAACACAGAGGACGACATTAAAAAATGCAGCGAGACATAGATAGGTTAGGTGACTGGGCAGGTAGGTGGCAGATGAAGTATAATGTAGGGAAGTGCGAAGTCATCCACCTGGTAGCAAAAACAGTAGAGTGGGTTATTTTTTAAAAGGGAGAGATTGGAATGTGTTAGCGTCCAGAGGGACTTGAGTGTCCTTGTACACCAATCACAGAAAGTTAGTCTGCAGGTGCAGCAGCAATTAGGAAGGCGAACGGTATGTTAGCATTCATTATGAAAGGATTAGAGTATAAGAGTAGGGAAGTCTTGCTGCAACTGTATAGGGCCCTGGTGAGACCACACCTGGAATACTGTGTGCAGTTTTGGTCTCCTCATTTAAGGAAGGATGTACTTGCCTTGGAGGGGTGCAGCGTAGATTTACTAGGTTAGTACCAGGGATGAAGGGGATGAGTTACGAGGATAGGCTGACCAATTTGGGCCTATATTCTCTAGAATATAGAAGAATTAGAGGGGATCTTATAGAAACCTATAAGATCATCAAAGGGCAATGATAGAGTAGATAGTGGGAGATTGTTTCCCCGGTTGGAGAAACTAAAACTAGGGGTCACAACCTTAAAATCAGAGGCAGCCCTTTCGCACTGAGTTGAGGAAGAACTTCTTCACTCAAAGGGCGGTGAATGTATGGAAATCACTACGCCAAAGGGCTGTTGACGCTCAGTCCTTGAACATATTCAAGACTGAGAGAGATAGATTTCTTATTGCAAAAGGGATTAAGGGATGTGGGAATAAGGCAGCGTCAGGTTATGAGCTGGAGTTAGATTAGAAGATCATCCATGATTGAATGGCGGGGCAGGGTCGAATGGGCTACTCCTGCTCCTACATGTTATGTTAATCCCTTAAAAAAATAATTTGGTCAGTTAATCCACGACTGTTTGTGGGACACTGCTGTGTACAATTGGTTGCCACGTTTCACCCACAAAATATACAGTCAATTCACTTCACAACATATTCTCTGAAGCGATTTGAGACATCTTGAAGATGTTTCAGGGCAGCATCACGCAAATGGAGTTGGCAGCTTACGTTCTGTTTGAGATAAATTATTGCATTTGATCCTGCGCCCGTCTCAAAGTGCTTCACAGGGAATTGCTGTCAAGTGTAGTGATTGTATCCAAGTGTGGAATCATGGTCCTGTGTTTGTACATCCAGTGCCTGGAATCCACTGTGATTGGTTTGCAGAGAGGGCAGCAGCTTCTGCTTGTTGGGTGTCAAATGACCAACTAGTGACTGTCCTTCGCTTGTACTGGACAACCACGTGTGCAGAAAGTGTCTCCGGCTGCTCGAGCTTGAGCTCAGGGTTTCTGAATTTGAGGAGAGGCTGGTGTCACTGCAGTGCATACGGGAAGCTGAAGCCTTTATGGATCGTACGTTTCAGGAGGTGATCACCCCACGGCCACAGGGAGTTCAGGAGGAGAGTGAGTGGGTGACCACCCGGCATTGGTCGGAAGCAGAGACAGGCAGTGCAGAGATCCCCCGGGAGTGTGGCACTCACAAACAGGATTTCTGTGCTGAATACTGTGAGGGTGACGACCCCTCGGGGGAGGGCAATCTTAGGCAAGTCCACGGCAGAGTGGGGCAAACAACTCCACAGGGAAGCGGAGCAATGCTATTGTCATTGGGGATTCAACAGTTAGGGGGATAGACAGGAGTTTCTGCATCTGTAGTCATGAGTCTCACATGGTGTGTTGCCTCACATGGTGTGTTGCCTCACATGGTGTGTTGCCTCCCTGGTGCCAGGGTGGAGGATGCGGAGCGGGTGTGGAACTTTCTGTGTTGGGAGGGGAACAGCCAGAAGTCGTGTTCCATGTTGTAACCAATATTGTGGAAATGAAAAGGGTTGAGCTCCTACAGACAGAGTTTCAGGAGCTCAGGACGAAACTAAAGAGCAGAACCTCAAAGGTATAATCTCTGGATTACTCCCAGTGCCACGTGCTGGTGTGAACAGGAACAGCAAGATAAAGCAGGTTAGTGAGTGGCACGGGAAATGGTGCAGGACAGAGGGCTTCAGATTCCTGGGGCTTTGGTACCAGTTCTGGGGAAGGAGGGACCTGTACAAGACACCTGAACACTGCAGAGAAGTGTGAGGTGATGTGTTTTGGGTGGAAGAATGAGGAGAGGCAATATAGAATAAATAATGCAACAACAACAACTTGGATTTATATAGCGCCCTCCACGCCGGACAGCGTCTCAGAGCGCTTTACAGTAACGGATCCCGGGACCAAGCCAGGGGAGGGGGAGGAGCCAGGGGGAGGGGGAGACGGGAGGGTGGAGGGGGAAAAGCCAGGGTAAGGGGCCAGGTGGGCAGGGGGAGGGGCCAGGGTGAGTGGGGGGAAGGTGACCAAAGGTGCGGTCGAAACGAAAGGTCTTCAGCAGAGACCTGAAAATGGGAATGGAGGGAACGAGACGAAGGCAGTGAGGAAGGGAGTTCCAGAGCCTCGGGGCATAGTGGCTGAAGGCACGGCCGCCGAGGGTGGAGCGGAGGACTCGGGGGACGAGGAGGAGGCCAGACCCGGAGGAACGAAGTCAACGGGACTGTTTTGAGGAGAGAGGAGTTTTAAATGGCGTACAGGAGCAGAGAGACTTGGGGCTTCACATAAAAAACTATATGGGATCCTTGGCTTTATAATAATAGTAATTCTTACATTTGATATATATCACATCTTCTAGACGTCTCAAAGCATTTCACAGAATAGACTGTAAAGTGAATTGACACTCCTCATTCTTCCACCCAAAACACATCACCTCACACTTCTCTGCAGTGTTCAGGTGTCTTGTACGGGTCCCTCCTTCCCCAGAACTGGTCCCCAAAGCCCCAGGAATCTGAAGCCCTCTGTCCTGCACCATTTCCCGTGCCACTCACTAACCTGCTTTATCTTGCTGTTCCTGTTCACACCAGCACGTGGCACTGGGAGTAATTGACTGAGATTTGCAGGGATAGAGTGGGACTGATGGGCAGCTCTTCAAAGAGTCGGCACAGGCTTGATGGGCTGAATGGCCTCTTTCTGTGCTGTAATACTCGATGATCAGTAATGAATCAACTTTTTTTCTTCTTTCTCCCCCTGAAGGAGCGGCTGGACTCTCAGCTGCTGGCAGTGCTGTGGTCGGGACATTAGGGGCTGCGACTGGCTACGGTATTAAAAAGGCTTTTGTCAGTGACTAAAGAATCTTAAATCGTTGTAAAGAATACAGCACAGAGACTGAGATGTAACTTGTATTCCTGGTTGTTCTCGAGTCACCATTGAGCAGTGACTCTGTTCCTTGTGATTGGGATAAAAGTGACATTCCAGTGTGGCTGTAAATGTCAAGCTTCACCTATAACTGCCTCTGATTGCTGTTTGGGAATTTAGATGTTGATATTCAAGCTTTTCACTCGACAACAAACAGTACTAACCTGGTCGCTCCCTCCGCTCAGCAGGTACCGGCCTGCTTCACATCCCCACGCACCCCACCATCAGCAGTCAGCGTGTCTGCCCCACTCTCTGGAACTCCATCTCGCAGTCCCTCAGCCTCACCCCTTCCCTCACCTCCTTTAAGGTCCGTCTAAACGCCTTCCTCGTTGCCCCCCCCCCCAAACCAACGCGCACCTCGGGGGCAACCCCTCAACTCTACAGCGCCTTGGGACGTCCTCCTGACGTGAAAGGTGATATATAAATGCAAATTTGTATTATATTGTAAAGCCAATCTGATCCCATTACATGGAGTTGCTAAGTCTAAAGTCAACGTTACTCCTACACTCCCAACAGACGCTACATATGCACATTAGAGCCAGAGACATGTTTCCATTACCGTTAAGCTGGGACAACAGGAAATCGTGAAGCCTGTGATGGCCCACCCAACCCCCGCACAAAGCAGCCCCTGAAAAGAACCCCCAAACAGCCGCCCCCCCAAAAAAAAACCTGTAAAAATAACTAGTAACGGTGTGGTGCCCGGGCCTGAGTGCTGTGACAGTGGTGGAGGGTTTCCAGATGGCCAAACTGCAATTGAGGAAAGTTAAGGTAAATGGGGGTGAGGGGAGCTGCACTCGATTGATTATTGATGGATTGTCCCAATCTATCCCTTGATTATTGATTATTGTCCCAGTCTATCCCTTTTACAAGCCTTGTCTGTCTCTCTCGCTCTCTCTCACAGTTGCTGGAGTGGTGGGTGTTCCTTTGGGGCTCAGTGCTGCTGGAATTGGGGCAGGAACCTTAGCAGCCAACGCAGGAGGAATAGCAGCAAGTGGTTTGGCGGCAGGTAAGAAGCCCATTGCCAATCTTATCTCATCCTTCCAGCACAACAACCCCATCTTCCTAGTGTAGCGACGAGGTATTTCTTAATTGAGGCCTAGTAACAAACTCACTATGGTAGTGGGGGGGAGGTGGCTAATTACAGTCGCCCACGCCAACCCTTCCCCAGAGAATTGTTCACTAAGTTTCTTGCAGAAGAAGATCGCTGCTCAAGGCATATTCTTTAGCATCTCAACAGAGTGTTGTATGGAATACATAGGCTATTCTAGAGCTGGGCTGTCAGAGCTGTGGAGTCCTGTAGCTCAGTGGTTAGAGCACTTACTTTGCAAGCGAGAGGACCTGGGTTCGATTCACGGAAGGCGAAATGTTGGACCGGTTTCCATACTCCTCACGCCTGTGTTTACCTATCAGTAAGTAGGAACCTGGTTGTTTATTGATTGGAGAATTGTTTTTGCAGGGGTAATAATCCCTTAAAAAAATAATTATTATTTGGTCAGTTCTCTTCAACCGTACCTTCACCTCGCCTCTCGACTTTCTACCCCCTCCTCGCTCCCTCCCTCCCTTCCCTCACCCTGACCATTCCCCCCTACTCGGGTCCCGACCCAACTGTCCAGCGCCTTGGGACATCCTCCCGACGTGAAAGGCGCTCTATAAATGCAATCTTGTTGTTGTTGTTGTTGTTAATCCACGACTGGAGTACAATGAGTACAATTGCTGAGTACAATTCGCTGCCGTTGCTGCTTTTTGTCAACAAAATATAGTCAATTAATTTTACAGTATAATCTGTGAAGCGCTTTGAGACATCTCAAAGACGTGATAAGGTGCTATATCAAACGCAAGGATTATTCTCAGGAGGCACTGACTAAAAGAATAGGCTGAGTAGACTGATCTCTGCCGTTAGCATAAAAAGGTAAACAAGTTAAGCTGCTTAATTGTGCAGTTCTGAGACCTTCCCTCAGCCCAGTGCACGGCCCTGACACTAAGTGTTTGAGCACAGGACGGATGGAGTTGAGGACAGTTAAAAGCCATGTTGTCAAACCGCATTGTGTTGCCGATTACATACAACCATCTCCAGAAAACTCAAGTGAAACTCACAGTAAAGCATTAAAAAGAGATTATATTGTCCTGTTTTATTTGGAATATTGAATCCATCTACAAAATAGACAGTCACTACACTTTACAGTAAATCCTGTGAAGAGCTTTAAGATGTTGAAGGGTTGATATCAAATGTAAGGATTATTGAAAGCCAGGGTTAGCAAACTTCATCAGTGAAGCCCTCTGTTTCAGGGCAGCATCGCGCAAATGGAGTTGGCAGCTTACGTTCTGTTTGAGATAAATTATTGCATTTGATCCTGCGCCCGTCTCAAAGTGCTTCACAGGGAATTGCTGTCAAGTGTAGTGATTGTATCCAAGTGTGGAATCATGGTCCTGTGTTTGTACATCCAGTGCCTGGAATCCACTGTGTTTGGTTTGCAGAGAGGGCAGCAGCTTCTGCTTGTTGGGTGTCAAATGACCAACTAGTGACTGTCCTTCGCTTGTACTGGACAACCACGTGTGCAGAAAGTGTCTCCGGCTGCTCGAGCTTGAGCTCAGGGTTTCTGAATTTGAGGAGAGGCTGGTGTCACTGCAGTGCATACGGGAAGCTGAAGCCTTTATGGATCGTACGTTTCAGGAGGTGATCACCCCACGGCCACAGGGAGTTCAGGAGGAGAGTGAGTGGGTGACCACCCGGCATTGGTCGGAAGCAGAGACAGGCAGTGCAGAGATCCCCCGGGAGTGTGGCACTCACAAACAGGATTTCTGTGCTGAATACTGTGAGGGTGACGACCCCTCGGGGGAGGGCAATCTTAGGCAAGTCCACGGCAGAGTGGGGCAAACAACTCCACAGGGAAGTGGAGCAATGCTATTGTCATTGGGGATTCAACAGTTCGGGGGATAGACAGGAGTTTCTGCAGCTGTAGTTATGAGTCTCACATGGTGTGTTGTCTCACATGGTGTGTTGTCTCACATGGTGTGTTGCCTCCCTGGTGCCAGGGTGGAGGATGCAGAGCGGGTGTGGAACTTTCTGTGTTGGGAGGGGAACAGCCAGAAGTCATGTTCCATGTTGGATTTAGGAACGAAAAGGCTTGAGGTCCTTTAGACAGACTTTCAGGAGCTCAGGAGGAGACTAAGGAGTGCAACCTCAAAGGTGTATTCTCTGGATTATTTCCAGTGCCACATCTAGTGTGTATAGAAAAAGCAAAATAAAGCAGGTTAATGTGTGGCTGGGGAAATGATGCAGGACGGAGGACTTCAGATTCCTGGGACTTTGGGACCAGTTTTGGGGCAGGTGAAACCTGTACAACGTGGACGGGCTGCACCTGAACAGGGCTGGGATCAACGTCCTTGCACGGAGGGCTTAAACTAATTTGGAGGGTGGAAGAGAACCAGGATGTAACATCATGGAGGAGATTCAGGGAACATAGAGGACTGGTAGAGACCAATAACATTGGAATAAAGAGTAGTCCAGAAAGAGGAGGGATTAGATATGGGAGAATTGCAAAGGCAGGTTTGGAGTGGGAGAAATAAGTTGGCTTTACAAGTGTAATGTTGTTGTTGTTGGTGAGCTGCACAAATTACCACATGGGATTATGATGTAGTGGCAATAACAGAGATTGGGCTGAAACAAGGGCAGGAATGGCAGTGTGGGAGACCATTGGTCGACCTCAAAACAAGAAGACCTTATTTGGTGTTGTGATAGTGAGCTCAGATATGATAAACAGCTTACACCGGGTTACAGGCTTTCTGCAGCCATGAGGGTCTGAGGAAGTTGTGCCTGGACTGCAGCTGTTTTGGGTTGAAGGCTATACCCAGCCGGCCCAACCGCTGAATGACATTCTGAAGGGAAGAAAAGCTTCTAAAGACTCCTTCGAGTTGAATTCGGAACAGATGGTCACCTTTAAAAAATCTCTGGGATACATTGGCAACGGCACATGCCCTCGGTATTCCGGATACGGGTAAACCTTATACTCTCTTCGTCAATGAGACAAACGGTTTTGTGACAGCAGTCCTTACTCGGGAACACGGTGATCAACAACGACCCATTGGCTACTATTCTGCCAAATTGGACACAGTGGCCTGTGGATGGGGAAGTGCGATGGAAGCAACTTGCAGAGCCGTCACGCTGACAGCCAGGTTGGTACTCGACCAAGAACTAACGGTTAAATGCCCTCATTCTGTGTATGCCATGTTATCCATGAATCGGGTATCACAGGTTACTTCTGCAAAATGGACTCGTTGGACAGCGATACTCGAGGCCCCCAATCTTCGGTTGGTGCGAGCTACGCCGACTAACCTTGCAGTTATGCTCCCGATTCCCGAGGAGCATAANGGGGGGAGGAAAGGTGAAAGGGTTATCGGACGAAAATCGAGTAGATGTGCTAAACTGTTTGGAAAACATACATGACTGTATAATGTTACCGGAGGATTTCTTTGATATTTTTCACCGATGGCTCGTCCATGGCGAAGGATGGAATTCGGAAGGCGGGATGGGCAGTAACCACCCTCTCAAGTGTGGAAGGTAGTGGTTGCCACCCGGCTGGAACATCAGCTCAGCAAGCCGAATTAAGGGCTCTCACCGAAGCCTGCAATCTGGCTGAAGGGAAAACAGTAAACATTTATACCGACTCAAGGTATGCATTTGGAGTTGCTCACGACTTCGGAAGCATCTGGAGATGCAGAGGATACCTAACCGTGACCGGTACACCCATTCGTAATGGAAAAGAGGTACAGACATTATTGGAAGCAATGAGTAAACCATCTAAGGCGGCGATACTTAAGTGCAAAGCCCACACGAAGGAAAACGCGGATGAAGCTAAGGGTAATGCAAAAGCGGACGAGGCGGCCAAGAGAGCTGCAGAAAGGACTCCTCAAACCGATGAAGACAGTTGTAGGATTCGATCATTAGAAATTAAAAGCTTACGTGCGGAAATTGCTAAGATGCAAGCTGAATGTTCTAAGGAAGAGATATGGACGTGGATGGAAGAAGGAATGCATTTGGGTTCAGATGGAATATGGCGACAACGTGACACTCAAAGAACAGTAGCCCCCCAGTCTTTAATGGCATTTTTGGCCCAACAGATCCACTCTTGGGAACATCTAGCCCCTCAGCAGATGGTGGCTAGATTTGCGAGACATTGGTGGGGAAAAGGCTTTAAGAAACATGCCCAGAATGTGGCGGACAGATGTGTCCCATGTCAAAAGATTAATCCAGGTCCTATTACGGTAATGCCTCAAATTCGACCCTCTGCCCCGATGGGTCCCTTTCAGGAAATACAGGTTGATTACATCTCCCTGCCCAAGAGTCGAGGTTTTTCTGATGTATTGGTAATTGTGGACAGATTCTCCAGATGGGTTGAAGCTACTCCGGTACGCAAAGCAACAGCGACCCAAACAGCGAAAATTCTGTGTAAAGACTACATACCGAGGTGGGGACTCCCAAGCTCGATCGATTCCGGTCAAGGGACACGCTTCACAGGAGCAGTATGCCAAGAAGTCTGCAGAATACTTAACATCAAGTGGAGTCTACACTGTCCTTACCACCCTCAGTCAACAGGCCAAGTTGAAAGAGAGATTGGTCAAATACCAGCTACAGGGTATCCCAAGGCCCCAAGCGTTACCAATTGTGCTCTGTAGCATAAGAGCAACCCCCAACCGAACGACTGGGCTCAGTCCGTTCGAGGTAGTTACAGGGCGACTGCTTAACTCTGAAAGAGAAAACTACGAACTGTGTTGAAAAGAATTAAGTCATAATGTTTTTGATATGGTTTTTGTTATTTGCGCTGGTGCGTTCGTGTCTCGCTCGTTTGTACTCTTCTCCTAAAGGTGCTCACTTGTATTCACTGCGCACCCCTACGGATGATGACGGATCACCTCCGGTTGGTCCCTATTATTTGTAAAGTGGTGTCGTTTTGTTTTGAGTGCAAAAGGGGGGATTGTGGGAGACCATTGATCGAACTCAAAACAAGA